ATTGTGAAAATGTACAATAAATGTGTAATGAGTAACCAGGTGGTGTCTGTTCTAAGATTTTTTTGTTAACCAATGGGAAGAGTATTGGATCTGCAGTTATAACAGTAAAGTTGAGAAAATATTTGGGAAGGGACTGGGCTTTCCAAGAGGCCCTGACCTTGGGTCGTGCAAAGTGTGATTTCCAAAGTGGCCACCAGGGGCACCAGGAGTTGGTAATAGGAAGTGACTTGACCAGCTTTTAAGCCTGGTGAACCCTGTGGTCTCTGATTCCCAGCTTCCTTTCCGTTCCCTTGCCTGGGCATGCTCCTGTTGTCAGACTCCTTTCTACCCCTGGATGCTACTTCTGAGATGCTCAGCAGTCACTCCCATGGCCATTCATGGCCACTTTGTGAATCATCTCTTCCCCTTTGCGCCTAGCACAGTGCCAAAATCTAGAAGGGGTTAATAAGTACTTGTTGAAACACTTGGCTCAGGGAGACCCAGCTGAGTATGGCATGGAGCTGGCTGTAGAGCGCCTACTACCCCTGCACTGTGTTGTATGACTTGCGACTTTATTTTTTTATTTTTTTTGTTTGAGACAGTCTCACTTTCTTGCCCAGGCTAGAGTGAGTGCCGTGGCGTCAGCCTGGCTCACAGCAACCTCAATCTCCTGGGCTCAGCGATCCTACTGCCTCAGCCTCCCTAGTAGCTGGGACTACAGGCATGCGCCACCATGCCCGGCTAATTTTTTTTGTATATATATTTTTAGTTAGTCAATTAATTTCTTTCTATATTTTGGTAGAGACGGGGTTTTGAACTCCTGACCTCGAGCAATCCGCCCGCCTCGGCCTCCCAGAGTGCTAGGATTACAGGCGTGAGCCACCGCGCCCGGCCTATTTTTTTATTTTTTTTTATTTATTTATTTTTTCAACTATTTTGTAAATGCATATTTTTTTATTTTTAATATATATTTTATTTTATTTTTTGAGACAGGGTCTCACTCTGTTGCCTGGACTAGAGTGCCATGGCATCAGCCTAGCTCACAGCAACCTCAAACTCCTAAGCTTAAGTGATCTTTTGCCTCAGCCTCCCCAGTAGCTAGAGCGAGTGCCCAGGCTAGAGTGAGTGCCGTGGCGTCAGCCTGGCTCACAGCAACCTCAATCTCCTGGGCTCAGCGATCCTACTGCCTCAGCCTCCCTAGTAGCTGGGACTACAGGCATGCGCCACCATGCCCCGCTAATTTTTTCTGTATTTTTAGTTGTCCAGCTAATTTCTCTTTTTAGTAGAGATGGGGTCTTGAACTCCTGAGCTCAAACAATCCTCCTGCCTTTACCTCCCAGAGTGCTAGGATTACAAGCGTGAGCCACCGTGCCTGGCCTGACTTGTGACTTTAGACCCCACAGTGAACTCTCAGCCTATGGGTACGGGATGCCTCTGACGTACTACCCTAGTATTCCTGTTCCCAAGAGTGTCAGTAATGAGTGGAGGGTCCTAGGTGAGCTCCGGAGGGCCAGCTTCTCTGGGCTGCAGCAAGAAGATCCAACAGTACAGGAAACCTACATAGTGTTTCCCAAACCTGTTGGCTTCTGAGAACCACCAGGGGTATTTTGAAAAGTAGATTTTCAGGCCCCTTCTCTGGAGATTCTGATTCAGCAGTTCCTGGGGGCCCATATAATTAGGTATACAGTCATTACTATAACATCCAACTTTCTGGAGGGCTTACTGTATGCCAGGCAGTGCTCAGGGTTTTGCACTTCATTGCCTGAATCCCTTCCAGGTTTAGGGTTTCCATAGGCCCTAGGACCTGCCTTATTATGGTGTCAGGGATCTGGGTTCAAATTTTAGCCCCATCACTAACTAGTGTGTTAATTTGGATTATGTAACCTCTCTGGGTCTCAATCTCATTTGTAAGGCGTTGGGTAGTAAGTGAGCCAGCCTCCTCGGAGTTTGTGAGAAGCACCTGGCCTGGCCCACAGAAAATCAGGAAGGGGCTGTCATCATCATCGTCATGATGGCAGTGCTGAAATCTGAAGGCCGCTTTATCCTAGGGGTCACACCTTCCAGCTTCGAGGGGGAGGGGATCCTCTTGGACACAGGGCTGGAGCCCCAGCGTAGGGGACACTCTTGTCACATCCGGAGGTCTGCACAAATTCCCCCCACCTACGCCACCGCCACCGCCACTAACAGCTGCGCCTGCGTGCAGGTTATGCTTGCTGCGCCTGCGCAGACTTTGCCGTTCTGAGTGAGAGTGTCGTCAAGGAAAATCCCCAGCTTCTGGGTAAACAAGTCGCCGCGTGAGACCGCCGGCACGTGTCCCCTACATCTCCAAGACCTCTCAGCCTATGAGAAAGTTTGGAGGGCCGGTAAGGCAATTGCGTCACCGATCTAGGCAGATCCGGCATTATTTCCACAGCCAATAAAAACTTCGGAAACGACTCAGGGCGTGGCTTCCGGTCAGGCTCCCAATGAACGCGCTGGGGCGGCCCCGCCCGCACGTGTCCCTATCACTGCCTGTTGGCATGCTGGCCAATGAGAAGATGACGGCGGCCAGAGATGCCAATGGAGGCTGTGCGGGGGCCGAGCTGCCGCACGCGGCGCGGGGCATGGGTCGGCGCCCTTAAGCCAATAAGCTTGGGGGGCGTGGCATCCCCCCCCGGTGGGCGGGACTGAAGGAGCCTGTGGAGTCGCTGCGGTCCCGGTCAGGAGGAAATTTGGACTCTGGTGCGCGCTGAGCAGTAAGTGCCCAGGAGTGGGGAGGGTTTAGGGCGGTCGGTATAGATTTTTTTCGTGTGGTGAGTTCGGTCAGGAGGGGTGTTAATGGAGTGGGGGAGGTCATGCAATTGCGTGATCGCCGTCATTGGAGCTCTGATGGTTGTGGAGAATAGGGACCTCGAACTCAGATCTAGAAAGACAGGGGTGGGAGTTACTGACATCGAATCCCTCACCGCTGTAGAGTGCCTGGACCCCTGACTGCCCTGAGGCAGGGGCTCGGAAGTCCTCAGGGTCCTGAGGGATCTGAAGTCCCTGCTACGTATGGCTGTTGTTTAGGTACCTTAAGCGCTTGAAAGAGGCATAGGTTCTGAGGCCCTAGAAGGACTCGGAGGAGGGTACCAAAAGGTTGGCACGGTTGTTTGAGAAAGGGTGGTGTGATGCTTTGTGAGACCTGGAGCCAGTCATGGCTCTGGGTGTCTTTCCTATATATAAAGGGGAGAGTTTGGGTTCAAAGCCATCCGTGAGGTGGGGTAGCAATTGTTGGGTCCTGAGAGGGAGGATATTCTTGGGGTTTGTGCTGATTGGCTGTGCACGTGTCTTCCTGAGCCCCTGAAGTGGGGAGGCACCAACAGGGTGCTGTGGTATTTGCACAAACAACCAGGCCTGAGGTAAAGTGGCCTGAAGTAAGGTGGAAGAGTGAAGAAGTGGGGCTCCTAGGAAATCCCTGGGGCTGGTTGCTGCTCTCAAGGACCTTGTGAACAAGGAAAAACGGGCCAGGATGATGTTAAGTGTGTGGGGAGTGCAAACAGAATATTTCAAGATCTGGCCCAAGGGGGAGAAGGTGTTGGATGGAGCTTGTGTTCCAGGCACCAAACTTAGAGTCAGCTGGATATTTGAGAGGCTAGGTGTGTCCTGCTGGGATGCAGCTTAGAGGTTGGGTAACACCTCACAGGTTCCTGAAGGGTAAGAAGCCAGAATGACAAGCCATTATTAGTGCTCCGATTTGAACCCTGGGCTCCATTTGTTAGGAGGCAATTTAGGCAAGTTTAGTAACTTCCGAGCTTTAGTCCCCCACAATATAGGGATAATAATAACTGCCTCACACGTTTGTTCTGGAGATTAAATAATGTATGTTAAGTGTTTGCATAATGGCTGGGTCATGATGAGAGATTTATGTGAATGCTGTGGCTGGAAACTATTCTCATATTCTCAAGCTTTTCTGCACGTTTTGATGACTCCCCATTTCGCTCTTCCTGGTTTTTCTGGTCTTCAGGCATCCGCCCAAATTCCTTCATTCTTCCCTTCTATCTCTCTCCTCAGGCCCCAATCTAAGCCACTTGCTCTGTCCCAGTTTGATTTCCTCATCCTAAACCCTTTCTCCTCTTTGTCCCTCCTCCCTCTCTCTGTCTGCTGCCATAGTAACAAAAGGTTCAGGCTCTGAAGGGGGCCTCTGGGAGGGAGCAAAGGTGCGGGTTCTGTCCCAGAGCCTGGGCCTCCAACTTTCCCCGCCCTGGCTCTTTGGCACCGCGTCAGCAGATGTGTACAGTTTGGGAGAGGGGAAAAGCCAGTGCCAGGAGCTGTAGGAACAAGCCGAGGGGCGGGCAGATGAGACTTGTGAAAAGAGCCAAGTATGGGGCTGGGAGGGAGACCCCTTCCTCCTAATCCTCTCTCCAGGAATCCCTGGCTTTGGGACAGGACGGCTGTGGTTGTGTTGGGGGAGGCGCCCAGGCCGGGTGCATGTCCTGGGCCACCAGCCAAGAGAACACGATGTTCCCAAATGCGCTGGCCGCCGCCCTCTCTGGCTGGCCGCCTCCCAAACCGCTGCTTCTCCTGCCTCTCCAGCCTCGCTGCCCCACATTCCTCGGCTGCCTCGCCCCGCCTCCTTCTTCCGCTTTGACGTCACCGTTGTCTCCCGCCCCCTCTTCTCCATTGACGGCAGCAGGGCCTGGTTACTGTGGGGACGATGAGGCAGGGCAACCAGGGCCTTGGGAGCAGGTGGGGGCTGCTGGAGCGCTGGACCCCTTTGTTTATGCAAAAGACAGATATGGAGGGGGAGGTAGGAGAGCGAGGACGGCCAGGGTCAGGGGAGGTCACACCTAAATCCCTGAGGAGAGCTGGGGAGGGCAAAAAACTGTCTCCAGGCTGGGCGCAGTGGCTCACACCTGTAATCCTAGCACGTTGGGAGGCCAAGGTGGGAGGATCGCTTAAGCCCAGGAGTCCTGACACCAGCCTAAGTGAGACCCTGTCTCTACAAAAATTAGAAAAATTAGCTAGGTGTAGTGGTGTGCATCTATAGTCCCAGCTACTCCGGAGGCTGAGGCAGGAGGATCACTTGAGCCAGGGAGTTTGAGATTGCTATGAGCTATGATGTTTCCAGAGAAGAGATGTCTGAAAAGGAGACAAAGACAGGGCCACAGTATATGAGTTGGGGGCAGGGGGCAGGGGAGACTGAGACTGTGCTCCCAAATCCTTTTCTGTGTTTTCCCATTTCCGTTTTTTTCTGGGTTAATTTATAACACTGCTGTGTCCCAGCTTTTCCACAGAGCCCTCCCCTTCACTGCCCCCATTGTTAAGAAAAGCTTAGGCCACGTGACAGTGAGGGGCGTGCACCCACAGCTGGTTATGTCAGCAGCTGCTTGGGGCCTCTTCACTTGCTACCCACGTTTTCCAGGGAGTCTTGAGAGGAACAACTCATTACAGTCCTGAATGGAGGGGCCGTGTAACTGCTGCTCTACTGGACCCAGACTGGCATTTTATTTCTCCCAATTAAGGCCTTGTTCTCTTTCTTGGACTTGGTGTTCTGCTCTTCCCTTCTTTAAAAGAATTATAATTTCCAGCCCCTTCTCCACTGCTGAGACTCCCCCACTTTCCCTACTTATCCTTGTTAAAATCAAAACCATCATGTTTATTGATCACCTGCTATGTTGTGGGGTGTCCTGGGTGCTGGGGAGTACAGTGAATGAGACAGATGAGATTCTGCTGGGTGCCTGGATCTTGGCTTTCTATTTTCCAAACAGTGGGGATATGAAGCCCTTGCCACTCCATCTCTCTCTGTCTAGGACCCCAGTTGGCCTCTTCTTTCTGCTATCTCCTTTGTCCCTTTGTAGTCCTAGCTTCCTGGCCCCCACTTTTGGGGCAGCCCTAACTGTGGGTGGCTGCATCCTCTGGAGAGAAGTACATACAAATCACCAAGTAGGCTGCCCGGAGACCTTTTCTCTGATTGGCCACAGAATTACCTGCTATTGTTTGCCTCCATAGCCCCTAATGGTTCAGGCTGCCCCTTCCATTGTCTGCATCCTCTTTCTACCCACTCAACCTCTATCACACGTGGACCCTCAACTGTCTTCCTCCCAGGATTTTGAAGTGTCAGAGGAAGGGGTTGGGTCAAAGGACTTCAGTGTGTATGGTGACAGGCTGGGAAGGGCAACCAGGAAAAGCCAAGCCAGGTTTCTGTCTCTTTCGCTCCTCTCAGGGAGCAGTCATCCCATCCAGCTTGGTTCAACTCCCAGGGTCTGCATTCCTTTTCCCCACACCTGGAAAGGCCAAGGTGCTAAGGTATTCTGTTCTGCAAGGCTGGTTCGCTCAGGAAGTAGACATCTCTTGAGCACCTGAGTACCTACTGTGGCACAGGCATTTTCCCTGAAGAGGGACAGCTTATCTCCCTTCTATTATTCACTGTGCAAGGCGTCCTGCGCCCATTGGCTGGGCGGTGTCTGGGGCCCTTCAGCCCAGCGCCAGCACCCAGGTCCACGTGCGCCAGTGTGTGTGACACAGCCCTGACCTCAGTGGGGGACAATAGCCAATCAGGCGCCGGGAAGAGATCCCCAGCCAATCGGGGGCGGGGCCTGCGGCTCCACCGGCAGGAGGCCAATGAGGGGGCAGTGCCTGGCATTATGCAACCCGCCTCCCCGCCCCGCGGAGCCTCCACTCTGCTGCTGGCTGGAACCGCGGCGGGCAGGCGGACGGAGGACACTCGCACTGCCAGGTAGGAATCTCCGCGACCACCCTGGGGCCAGTCTCTGTCCCCCGAGTCGGACCGCCCGCCACTTCCAACCTGATGGGCCAGTTTCGGCCTAGGTGGTCAGATGGCACACGGCCTTTCTTGTCGCTATCAACCCTCTCACCGCCCCTGGGGATCTAGGTGCTTCTCGCAACCATGCACCGTGTGTCTGCTCTCCTGCCCCGCTCCCTTTGCCTCCAGCTTTGCCCCTCGGTCTCAGCCATCCTGACCCCACAGCCGACCCTCAGTGGGCATGCCCCCTGTCTCCTTTCTCTTCACTCGGGGGTCTCCGGGTTTGCCTCACCACCAGAACCCCTTCAAGCTTTCGGCGTTCCCCGCCTTCCCCTCTCCAGTCCCTGGCCCTGGGCCGGCTGTGATGTCAGCCCGCTTCAGGCTGGAACATCCCGTTCTCAGCGCTAGTTCCTGCTGTTGGCCAGTCTTCCCTTTTCTCCTGGCGCTCAGAAAATGCTCAGGGGTGGGGGTGTGGTTGGACGGGAAGTGGGGGAATAACTATCCGCTGGCGGTTGTGTATCCCGTACTAAGGCTTCGGAGGAGGAGGGAGTGGCTGGAAAAGTAGGGGACTGAGAAGAGGATTCCCGGGTCTTTGACGATGGCAGGTGCCAGCTTACGTCCCGTTGGTCAGGGGCGGAGGTAGGGGAGAAGGGGGCAAAGAAGGGAAGGTTGTGTTGTCTTGAGCAGAATGATGGGGATCCAGGTGAGGGCCAGGTTGAGGGGTTTTGGGGCAGAGGGCGGTGGCTGTTGTGTTTTGTCCTGAGGAGGCCAGGGCCAACCCTGGCACCCCGTAAGGCCGTCCTTCTAAATACGATCTCAGGGGCCATCAGGGACTGGCGATACGGTTAGGGTGGGCGACCCCCAGCCGCGCCCGCCAGTATGGGAGTGGGTCGTTTCCCCACTTCCGCCGGGAAATGGGGGAGGGGTCGCCTCTCCCGCCCTCCTGTGGTCCCTCCAGCAACCGCTGAGCTCAGCGGCTGACGTCGGTTTCCCTGGCGACCGTGGCGGCGGCGGAAGCGCGTGGTGGGCCAGTGCACGTCGGCGCGCATGTGCGGTGGGGGTGGCTCCGCCCCCGGATAAAATTAGCCCTGAGGCCTAAATATAGGAGGCGACCTGCTCACCTCCTGCTCTGCGGCCTTGGAGTTCTCTGCGGCCTTGGAGACTAGGGACCTAATGGGAACTTGGGGATGGGAAATGTCGGGGCTTTGGCCCACAGCCCTAGCTCTAGTAGACTGCTCAGGCCCTCATTACCTAGGCCATGCTGTCAGGGGATGTGGCTCAAGCCCCAAGAGAGCCCCCTTCCCACCAGCGGCCCTCTTATGGTACAGGAAACAGAATTCACCTCGGCTTATAAGAAGCCCCAGGCCTGGGTCCTAGGAGCGTGGGGGGAAGCAGAGGAAAGTCTGAGTGAAGCTAACAGGTGCTGTAGGGTTAACAGCCCAGCTTTTTCCAAGCTCTCCTTCCTGGTCTCTCTCTCCAGGTACTGGCTGTGATCAAACTTCTCAACCCTCAGAGACCTAGATCTCCCACCTTACAACATCAGCCAGGCCTCCAGGCCCCTTCGTGCATCCGTGGTGGCCTCTTCGGCTTCCCTGTTTTCCTGTCCTCCCCATGGCCAAGACATGAGCGGTCCCCTAGAAGGGGCTGATGGGGGAGGGGACCCCAGGCCGGGGGAATCCTTTTGTCCTGGAGGGGTCCCATCCCCAGGGCCTCCACAGCACTGGCCTTGCCCGGGCCCCAGCCCGGCCGATGACACTGATGCCAACAGCAATGGCTCAAGCGGCAATGAATCCAACGGGCATGAATCCAGGGGTGCATCTCAACGGAGCTCACATAGTTCCTCCTCTGGCAATGGCAAGGACTCAGCCCTTCTGGAGACCACTGAGAGCAGCAAGAGGTGTGTATGGGAGTGTGCTGCAGCGTCTGGGGGTGCTCTTGTGAGCAGGCTGAGCTAGGTGACAGGCCTCATGCTGCTGGCCACCTGCCCCTCACCTTGGGCCTATTGCTTCTCCCCTAGCACAAACTCTCAGAGCCCATCCCCACCCAGCAGTTCCATTGCCTACAGCCTCCTAAGTGCCAGCTCGGAGCAGGACAACCCGTCTACCAGTGGCTGCAGGTATGTGGAGTGAGGGATGGGGGAGAGAGTTGGGGGCCTGGGCCACACTCTGGGGCTAATGTCTTTACTTCTCCTTCCCTATGGGCCCTGTAGCAGTGAGCAGTCAGCCCGGGCAAGGACCCAGAAGGAACTCATGACAGCACTTCGGGAGCTCAAGCTTCGACTGCCGCCAGAGCGCCGGGGCAAGGGCCGCTCTGGGACTCTGGCCACGCTACAGTACGCACTGGCCTGTGTCAAACAGGTGCAGGGTGAGTGGTGCTTCCTGGGAGAGAAGGGCCAGGGCCTGGGCTACTGTGGTGGGACAGTCTCCTTACTGAATGCCCCACCACCCTCGCCCGGCAGCCAATCAGGAATACTACCAGCAGTGGAGCCTGGAAGAGGGTGAGCCTTGTGCCATGGACATGTCCACCTACACGCTGGAGGAGCTGGAGCACATAACATCTGAGTACACGCTTCGCAACCAGGTCAGCCTTGGCCTTGCCTCTCCATTCTGGCGCACCCCCAATCCTACTTGCACAGCTCCTAAATCTGCTCTTGTTCTCACCCTCCTGCCAGGATACCTTCTCGGTGGCTGTCTCCTTCCTGACAGGCCGAATTGTCTACATTTCGGAGCAAGCGGGTGTCCTGCTGCGTTGCAAGCGGGATGTGTTCCGGGGTGCCCGCTTCTCAGAGCTCCTGGCTCCCCAGGATGTGGGCGTCTTTTATGGTTCCACAGCCCCATCTCGCCTGCCCACCTGGGGCACTGGGGCCTTGGCAGGTGAGGTGCCCAAGTGCTTGGGGGGAGGGATGAACAGTCCCAGGAAGCTTTTTGCTGTAAGGGGCTGGGGACCCAAGCTTTCCCTTGGTGGCCTCTTCTCAGCCTAGCGAGGGCTGTATTCACTGCCTCCTGTTGTCTTTCAGGTTCAGGCCTCAAGGACTTCACCCAGGAGAAGTCTGTCTTCTGCCGTATCAGGTAGGTGAGGAGAATGGAACAGGCCTCTCTGTTCTTCTCCCCGCACCCCACCCCCAGTGTCTGCTGTGTATGCTGTGACCTTGAGGTTGGAGGTGTGGGTGGCTGTTCATTGAAAGTTCCTAATGCTCCTCTCTCCCTTGCCAGAGGAGGCCCTGACCGGGATCCAGGGCCTCGGTACCAGCCATTCCGCCTAACCCCATATGTGACCAAGATCCGGGTTTCAGATGGGACCCCTGCGCAGCCATGCTGCCTGCTCATTGCAGAGCGCATCCACTCCGGTTATGAAGGTGGGCAGGCAGGGCCTGGCTGGGGGAGGGCAGGAGGAAGGACATTTCCTCTGGGCTTGGGTGAGGTACAGGACATGAATCTGGGAGGCACGAGCCAGTCTTCTAGAATTTTGGAACTGAAGAAGATATTATAAGGATGAGGGTTTGGGCCCTGTTAGAAGTAGAATTGGATAAGAGCCCTGAGCTAGGAGAGGGCAAAGAAAAATGTGTTGGTGCTTCTCAGTTTTATTATTGGTACAAGGCACAAGACAAGGATGGTCCAGGCTATCTTAGCAGGCTACGGGGTCCAGGGCAGAGCTGTGGCGAGGACTGCCAGCCAGCCTGGGTCCCAGTCAGAGTGGAGGTCTGAGGAGCTGGACCATTCTGGATAAAACCCAGTGCCACACTTTCTGTGTCTCAGCTCCCCGGATCCCCCCCGACAAGAGGATATTCACTACGCGGCACACACCCAGCTGCCTCTTCCAGGATGTGGATGAAAGGTGAGGTCAGGACCTGGAGGAAAGAAGGGTGACCAGGGCTGAGGCCATGGCCACTCTGACACCCCTTCCTATTTCAGGGCTGCCCCACTGCTGGGCTATCTGCCCCAGGACCTCCTGGGGGCCCCAGTGCTCCTATTCCTGCATCCTGAGGACCGACCCCTCATGTTGGCCATCCACAAGAAGAGTGAGTCCCTCTCATCCTCTCTCCCTTCCCAGCTTCCCCGGGGACGTGGTGGGGGGGGAGGTTGAAGCTGCCTTTGTGGTTGTGTTTCCTGGTGCCTTGGTCTCCTGGGTCTCCCGTGGGTGGACCTCCACTTTAGCACCCTCTCCTGCTGACCCCTACCTCATTTTCCACTCCTATCAGTCCTGCAGCTGGCAGGCCAGCCCTTTGACCACTCCCCTATCCGCTTCTGTGCCCGTAACGGGGAGTATGTGACTATGGACACCAGCTGGGCTGGATTTGTACACCCCTGGAGCCGCAAGGTGGCCTTTGTGTTGGGTCGACACAAAGTACGCACGTAAGTGGGCCATGCCCCCGAGCTGGTACTGGGGGTAGGGCAGTGTGGGAGGGGGCAGGACTTGGGGGCAAGGCTGGACTCACCCTTCCCTACTCTACAGGGCACCCCTGAATGAGGATGTCTTCACACCCCCAGCCCCCAGCCCAGCTCCGTCCCTGGACACTGATATCCAGGACCTGTCAGAGCAGATCCACCGGCTGCTGTTGCAGGTGAGGGTTGAGGGAGGGATGTGGGAGGGGAAGGGGGTGCGAAGCAGGGTATAGACGTCTAACCTGGCTCTCTCCCTGCTGCAGCCTGTGCACAGCCCCAGCCCCACAGGGCTCTGTGGAGTTGGCCCTGTGACATCCCCAGGTCCCCTGCACAGCCCAGGCTCTTCCAGTGATAGCAATGGGGGTGATGCTGAGGGGCCTGGGCCTCCCGCCCCGGTGAGTGACCTTCTCCCGCCTCCCTCTAGTCATCCATTTTCCTGTCTTTGGAATTGGCACTGCCAGCCCCGAAGCTTTGCACTGTCCCCTTTGCCTTTTCCTCCCTGCCTTTTCCTTCTTGTTCTGCTCCATCAAGGCCTCTGTGCCTCCCTACTGACACCTTATTTTATTTGTGCCCTTGGCCCCTGACACTGGCCAAGCCCGCCAATGCTTCCCACTCCTGTGTTCTGGCCCACAGGTGACTTTCCAGCAGATCTGTAAGGATGTGCATCTGGTCAAGCACCAGGGGCAGCAGCTTTTTATTGAGTCTCGGGCCCGGCCTCCAACCCGGCCCCGCCTCCCCAGTGAGTTGATGAAGACGTATGGGAGGAGTGGGACCTAGGGATCCCCTGACCTTCACCCCAACCCATTTACCTTCTTCTCTCCTCGCCTCAGCAATAAGCATGTTCAAGACCAAGGCCCTTCCTTGCCAGTCCCCAGACCCAGAGCCAGAGTTGGCTGCTGCTCCAATCCAGGCCCCACTAGCCTTGGTCCCTGAGGAGGCTGAGAGGAAAGAAGCCTCCAGCTGCTCCTACCAGCAGATCAACTGCCTGGACAGCATCCTCAGGTAAGGCCACCTGACACCTTCTCCCCCTTGGGCCCTACCCCTGCCCTACCCTAGGCCCTACCCTTATTTTCTCTGCTGCATCCTTCACCAGGTACCTTGAGAGCTGCAACATCCCCAGCACGACCAAACGTAAATGTGCCTCCTCCTCCTCCTACACGGCCTCCTCCGCCTCTGATGATGACAAGCAGAGGACAGGTCCAGTCTCTGTGGGGACCAAGAAAGGTAAAGACCCAGTGTATGCCCTGATCCTGCTGCCCCTTCCTGGCAGCCCTGTGTCTCTATACTTCTGCCTTTGGGGCCCCCCTTGCTCTGCCCTGCCCTCCTCCCCAGCCTCCTGATCTCCAGCCTCCTCCCTACCACCATTCCCTCCCTGTCCTCCTGGGGATCCCCTCTCCTGACCTCCCAGTGGGGGTTGGAGTGGTAACTGGCACCATCTCTCTGCACAGATCCTTCGTCGGAAGTGCTGTCTGGGGAGGGGGCCACTCCTCAGAAGGAGCCAGTGGTGGGAGGCACCCTGAGCCCGCTCACCCTGGCCAATAAGGCGGAGAGCGTGGTGTCCGTCACCAGTCAGTGTAGCTTCAGCTCCACCATCGTCCATGTGGGAGACAAGAAGCCCCCGGAGTCGGGTATGGGCACGGAGTGAGGTGGGGAGTGCCTGGGCTCCCTGTGGCCCCCCCCCAGCTAGAGCTCCTTCCCACCTGCCTTTCCCCTCTGCCTCCAGCCCCAGTGGAGAGGAGACGGTCTCCCGCCCAGCCTCAGTTTCTTGCTCTCCACCCTGCCTGCCTGCTGTTATGCCCTGCCCTGTCCTCCTTCCCGAGTTCTCACTGTCAACAGAAACACAAGTGTGGGGTGGGGGGGTATCAGCCCAAAGGTGCAGCCCACAGAGGGCTGAAGGGGAGGAATGTTGAAGACCCCTGAAGGGTCTTTGGATATTGACCTTGGAAATGTGTAGGGAAAGGGCAAGAGGTGAGCTTCCCTTCCAGTGAGAGGGGTTTCCTGGCAGGGTAGCCACTGGAGGGGACTGAATGTCCTCTCTCCTCCCGGGACAGCTTTGCATGGAGAGGAGGGTCCAGCACCAGCCCTTGGTGGGGAGGTGACCAAGAGATGTACATGAGGCCCAGGCTTGGCTGTGGGGCAGGGGCTCAGCTTGGCTAGGCTACTGGACAGGGAGGGTGTGGAGTGGATGTGTTGACCCTTGTGGTGATTCTGATGACCTTTCCCCCATCTCACCTTCCTCAGACATCATCATGATGGAGGACCTTCCTGGCCTAGCCCCAGGCCCAGCCCCCAGCCCGGCCCCCAGCCCCACAGTAGCCCCTGACCCAGCCCCAGATGCCTACCGTCCAGTGGGCCTGACCAAGGCCGTGCTGTCCCTGCACACACAGAAGGAAGAGCAAGCCTTCCTCAGTCGTTTCCGGGACCTTGGCAGGCTGCGTGGACTCGACAGCTCTTCCACGGCCCCCTCCGCCCCTGGTGAGCGAGGTAGCCACCCGGGGCCTCTCTGAGCCTGCCCTCTACCCAGTCTAGGACCAGACTGTCGGGGGGTGGGTCTTGAGGGAGATGTTGTTGCTCCAGAAACCAAGGCTGGTGCTGCCTCTACCACCAGGGCCTTGTCTAGGGATGTGCCTCTTGCAAGCCTCTCCCCACTAGGCAGGGGTTCCTGGCTGCAGCCAGAGAAGGGCAGCCTGGTGGCCGGCACTGAGGCAGGCGGAGGTGCACTGTCTAGGTAAGCTACTTCAGGCCTGGCCTGGGGCAGGGGCAGCAAGTGTGTCTGTTTAGGACTCAGTTGTCACTGATCAAGAAGAGATCTGCATAGATTCTGGACCAACTCTGGGTGGGGTCCTGGCTTCCAGGGCAGATGGAAAGCAGCCCCTCCAGGTGCCTGAGGGAGACCCTTGCAGGTGGACACAGGACTCAGGACTCAGGACTGGGCTTTCCAGTCCACCTCTTTGCTCCATCACAAGCTAGGCAGAGCACAGCCTCAACTGGCAGGAGCAACACCCAGGCCGGCGGTGCCTGCAGGATTTTGGTGGATAGACCAGAGCCACCTGCCCATTCGTCCATGGAGCCACCCTGCCTCCTGCCATCTGCCAGCGTGCCTCTATCTTCTGAATGCCCCCAGCTTTGACCCCTCATGTAACCTTTCCTTGCCTTCATGTCTTTCTCAATAAACCCCCTTGTCCCTGCCTCCTGTGATTCTTCCCTGAGGGTGCCCCCACCTCATGAATCCCCTCTGTTCTGTATGGTCTGTGAAACCCTCTCTGGGGCCTTTGCCTGCCCTCTCCCTGGTCAGAGTGTCAGGGCAGTGGCAGTGGTAAGGCACTAACCCCCAGGTTGAGGCCCTTGCTAACCCTGGTCTCTTCCCACAGGCTGCCACCATGGCCCTGCACCCCCCGGCCGCCGACACCACTGCCGATCCAAAGCCAAGCGCTCACGCCACCACCAGACCCCCCGGGCCGAAGCCCCCTGCTACATCTCCCACCCATCACCTGTGCCACCCTCTGCTGCCTGGCCCCCCCCACCAGCCACTACCCCCTTCCCAGCCGTGGTCCAACCCTACCCCTTCCCAGTATTCTCCCCTCGAGGAGGCCCTCAGCCTCTTCCCCCTGCACCCACTTCTGTGCCCCCTGCCACTTTCCCTGCCCCCCTGGTAACCCCAATGGTGGCCTTAGTGCTCCCTAACTATCTGTTCTCTGCCCCATCCGGCTATCCCTACGGGGCACCCCAGACCCCAACGGAGGGGCCTCTTACCCCTGCTTCCCACTCCCCTTCCCCATCCTTGCCACCTCTGCCCCCAAGCCCTCCCCACCGCCCAGACTCCCCACTGTTCAACTCAAGATGCAGCTCCCCGCTCCAGCTCAATCTGCTGCAGCTCGAGGAGCCCCCCCGTGCTGAGGGGGGCACTGTTGCAGGGGGCCCTGGGAGCAGTGCTGGGCCCCCACCTCCCAATGAGGAGGCTGCTGAGCCAGAGGCCAGACTGGTGAGCACTGACCCCTGCGCCCTCCCAGTAGCCCCCAGCCCTCAGCACTGCCCCTCCCCTGCCTTCCTCCTGCCCTCTGCCCAGTGCTGCAGGCTCCAGGAGATGGTGTTGTGGGGAGGGAGACCCCAGGTGAATTCTAAATGAGCTCAGAAATCGGCTGCCTCCTCTGTGTGAAAAGACAGTCCTATCTGTCTGACAGGTGGCAAGGACATCCCAGTAACTTCTGAGAGCACATCTGCCACTTGGAAAGGGCCTGGCCTTACGTCCCTGCTCTGCGCCAGCTCTCTTCTCTCTCAGCTTGGCAACGTGGAGTGGGGAGCAGAGACAGCTTGGGTTGGGTGTGCCTCCCCTGCCCCAACCAGTGGCAGCCATTGAAGGAAGCCTGGGTGCTGATCCCTTAATCCCTCCCGTCCACCCCCCCCCCCAGGTGGAGGTAACAGAGTCCTCCAATCAGGACGCACTTTCTGGCTCCAGTGACCTGCTGGAACTGCTACTGCAAGAGGACTCTCGCTCTGGCACGGGCTCTGCAGCCTCAGGCTCCCTGGGCTCTGGCTTGGGCTCTGGGTCTGGTTCAGGCTCCCACGAAGGGGGCAGCACCTCAGCCAGCATCACTCGTGAGTGCCCACCCTCCAGCATCTCCCAGGGTGGGACAGTGACTGGGGAGTTGGGAGGCCAGGCCCCATCTCAGCTGAGCTTCCTAAGGCTCCTGGAATGGCCATGTAACCTTTGGGGCCTCGAGGGGTGGGAGTGTAGGCTGGCCTGACTCCAGTGGCCGCCCCCTTGCTTCACAGGCAGCAGTCAGAGCAGCCACACAAGCAAGTACTTCGGCAGCGTAGACTCTTCTGAGGCTGAGGCTGGGGCTGCTCAGGCCAGGGCTGAGCCCGGGGACCAAGTCATTAAGTACGTGCTCCAGGATCCCATCTGGTTGCTCATGGCCAACGCTGACCAACATGTCATGATGACTTACCAGGTGCCCTCCAGGTGAGGCATTTCAGAGGCTTCCTTGGCTTCCGTTCAGAAAGGTAGTAGGGTGGCTGGCCCACCCTCACTCCCCAGCTAACTTGAGGTTTCCTTTTCTGGAGATAACTCTGCCTTGGAGGTTCCTATCCTGCTCCCTGCCCCTGGGAACCTGATTCTTACTTCCTCCCAGGTTGAGAGCAGGTTTCCTGGCCTTGGAAGCCATCAACTCCCATCACCCTGGTCTAGGGGAGGATTGTGAGGTGGAGGGTAGGGAGTTGGGGTATAGGAGAACTGCCAGCTCCATGGGTCCTGGCCCTAGTCCGGGATCCCAGCCTCTGCCTTCTGTACCCCTTTTCGGGCAGGGACATGACCTCTGTGCTAAAGCAGGACCGGGAGCGGCTCCGGGCCATGCAGAAACAGCAGCCTCGGTTCTCAGAGGACCAGCGTCGGGAACTGGGTGCTGTGCACTCCTGGGTCCGGAAGGGCCAGCTGCCTCAGGCCCTTGATGTCATGGTGAGAGGGAAAGCCTGGGAATGGGGAAAAGAAAGAATTGAAGGTCTAGGGGCTCAGGGCTGATTTCAGTGTTCTTGGATCATTAATTTTGAAGGATGTTAATTCTACTAAGTTTGTTGCTGGATTATGTAGTGTTAAGCAACCTGAGTTTTTGCAGTTTTCTGAGCCTCTGCTATACTAACTTACATTGCGACTATACCATAGTGGGGTCAGGATAGAGGGTACAAAGCATTTTCCAATCTTGTTGAACCCCAGGTGCATCTGTGTGCACTAGTGTTTCTTAGGAGTACATTTTGGGCAGCACTGTTGGGTTGGGGGTGGAAAGCTGGGCAGGCAGGTCAGCAGTGAGGACCCTGTCTGACTCAACTCATGTTTCCTTTTATGCTTCAAGGCCTGTGTGGACTGTGGTAGCAGTGCACAAGACCCTGGCCACCCTGATGACCCACTGTTCTCAGAGCTGGATGGACTGGGGCTGGAGCCCATGGAGGAGGGCGGAGGCGAGGGGGGAAGTGGTGGTGGTGGTGGTGGTGAGGGTGAGGGTCTCAAGGAGGCCCAAGCCCAAGTTGGGGCCAAGGTCTCAAGCTCTCAGGACTTGGCCATGGAGGAGGAGGAACAAGGTGTGAGCTCATCCAGTCCAGCCTTACCTACCACAGAAAATGGCACCAGCTAGACTCCATTTTGGGACCACCTCTGGGAGTCCATGAGAGGCTTCCTTCTCCTTGATGTCCCAATTCTCAGAACTTGGATTTGGCTAGACCAATCAATAAGATACTGCCCAGCTTTTCCCACCGAAGGGGGCTGGACCCCCATCACCAGCCCAAGATTCAGGGGGCCGTCTCTGACCTCTTAGGGAACAGAGGATGGAACTCCTCAGCCCAGCCCAGCCCCACTCTTGATGAGGAGTCCTTCCCTCCCGTGGACAAAGTTGTTGACAAGCTGCTGAAGTGGTCTCTCCAAATCCCAGCTGAGCCTGAGTCTGGCCCTGAAGGTTGGGGCTGCACTTATTTATTGGAGGAGACAGCTCTCTCTCCCACCTCCTCCCCGATGGGAGGAGAGCCTGAGGCCCAAGCAGGACCCAGGGGTACAAACTGCTAGCTGCTCCAGGGTGGGGGAGGTTGGTGGACCGTGGAGTCCCTGGTGCTGCCCCTCAGGTGGGACCCAGGCGTTCTCAGCTGTACCCTCTACCAATGGCATTTGTGTTTTTGATATTGTGTCTGTTACTACTTTTTTAATACAAAAAGAAAAAAAGCCCAGGACTTTGTGGAATAAAGTTTGGGGTTTGGGTGAGGGGAGCGTGTTGAAGGGAGGTGTCGCCCTGCTTCTGGGAAGATTGTAGTGCGGGTGGGCAGTTCCATCCCCTGACAAACCCCCTTCCTCTTCTCCCACATCCTTTCCAGCTGAAGGGCCTTGCTGCACCCACTAAATCTACACCGAACTCAGACTGTCCTCTCAGCTCCCGCGTTAACTCAGCTAGGTTTGCTCTGGAGAGATGAGAGGCAACTGGTGGCTTAAGGCTTGGGCAGGCTCCAACTTGGGTCACACGTGACCAAGGTAGAGGGAAGCCTGCTTAACCCTGTGGTGCCCTGGAGGCAGTTGAGGGTGTTTAGCTGTTTTAGCTTCTTGGTCACCATACAGGAGAGGGCCCTTCAAGTGGGTCAGTCTGGGTAACTAAGGGACACGGGGTCATGTGCCCATTCATGGTCGAGTTGGCCCCCACATGTGTGGGACAAAGAAGGAGCACAACGTTAATCCGCCAGCTCAGAACCTAAAGGGGAAGGATTAACCTAGGAAGGATGCATCACTGAAGACCCACTACAACCATTATTAGATGGTTCTCACTTACGGGCACCCATGAATAGCTGATCTATGTAGAAACGCAAAAATTTCTCCACCGGCGCCGTGGCTTAGCTGGTTAAAGCGCCTGTCTAGTAAACAGGAGATCCTGGGTTCGAATCCCAGCGGTGCCTCGGGCAGTTGAGGGCGGTATATTATTGCCTCCAAGAAAATGCGTTTCCAAATTTCCTTGAAAGGTCCTTCTTCTTACCAAACCAATCTCTTTGGGCTTCTATTCCTGTGCACTTTTAGTGGGTAATTGGAGGCCGAGATTCTTACTCTGCTTTCATGAACCAGGGCGAAGTAGACATCATAAGGTCTGCCCTCAAAAGTATGGGAGAGTGGATTGCGACTCGTTTTGTTGAGACCTTCCTGTGCTTGGGGAGCGGAGGGAGAAGCGAAAAGCGGCCGCTTCAATAGATCCGAGGCGCATGCGCATAGACATCTCGCGATAGCGAGGGCGGAGTTGGCGGGAGACGGGCATGTTGATAGGCAGGTATAGCTGCGCAGGCCCGAGGCCGCACGCGGCTGTGATGGCCGAGTGGTTAAGGCGTTGGACTCGAAATCCAATGGGGTCTCCCCGCGCAGGTTCGAATCCTGCTCACAGCGTTAGTAGTTTTGGTGAATTGCTGCCTCCGGGAAGCCACAGTTTGTTTTCTAGTCCTTTCCTTCCCGCCGGCAATCTCTACCATTGTTCTGAGGATCTCGGGGACTCAGCCACCCGGGACCAGCCCGCAAGCGCGGTCTTGTGAGCTTCAGACTCCTGCCAACCGGCAGAACCCTTTTTACCGACAATTTCAATTCGTAACTCCACCCAACTCAGGTGGTCCCTGCTACTCAGCAGTCATATTACATTTCCCTAATCCATTCACCTTCCTACTCTCCTATACCACTGTTTCATTTCTTCTCTCACTTCAAACCACAAATCCCTTCTTCTTTCCTCAGCTTTTCTTTCTGTTTCACTGAGAAAATAAAGCAGCATTCCGAGGAGTTTCCCACCGACCTTGCTTCCACCTAAGGCCAGCCCCTGCACTTACCAGATTTCCCATACCCTCTGGCCCACTCAAAGACATCGCTTTTTCCTATACTAGCAAATTTTCCCTCTCTATTTGATTTTTCTCATCAGCCTACAAACACGAATTTCTCCCAATTTAGAACAAGGAGGACAACACAAACTATCTTAATCCCACACCCACCTCCATCTATCACTCCATTTCTCTGCTCCCTTCTACAGCAAGCAGAACAAGCTATCCTATACTCTGTCTCCAATTCCATCTTCCCATTCTCCTCTGAACCCTCTGCACCGACGTCCCCCGCCTCCACCAAAACTGCCCTTGGTAAGATTGCCAAAAAAACGATCATCACACTGCTAAATCCATTAACCGCTACTTAGCAGCAGTTGGCACAAAGGCTTACTCTCCCTCTTAGAAACACTCTCTTTACTTGCTTTCTAGGACACTGCACCCATCTGATATTCCTTGTACTTCCAAGGCTTAATTATCCAATCTCTTCTTTACCTGTCTGTACTCACTACCTTGATCGTCTCCAGTTTCATGGCTTTAAATACCAGATAAGAAATACATTAATACATCCCAAATTTTCATCTGCAGCTCCAGAACTCTTCCCTGAGTTACAGATGCTTATATCCTATTGCCTAATTATCTTCTCCACTTGGATATCTAACAGGGACCACAAAATGTGCAAACCAATCTCTTGATCTTCTTCCCAAAACCTGAAGACTTCCATCTGAAGTCTTCCTGAATTTCCATGGAAATTCCACTCCTTCAGTCAATTAGACTAAAAACCTTACAATCATTCCCAAATTTTTCTCTTTCTTTCACATTCCACATCAAATTAGTCAGCAATTTCTATTTAAAATATGTTGAAAATTGGATGACTTGTCACTACCTTTACCAGTACACTGGTCCAAGCCACCCTTGTCTCTCACCCAGATTATTGCAATATCCCCTAAATTTCCTGGGTTCCATTCCTTTTAAAAAAATTTTTTTTTCCTGTTTTGAGACAGAGTCTCTGTCACCTGGGCTAAGGTGCCCTGGCGTCAGCCTAGCTCACAGCAACCTCAAACTCCTCAGGCTCTGGAGTAGGTGGGACTACAGGCCTCCCCCACCACACCTGGCTAATTTTTTTCTATTTTTAGTAGACATGGGAGGCATGGATGTGGGGGTGAGGGTGTGGGGGGTGGTCTCACTTTTGCTCTGGCTGGTCTCCAACTCCTGAGCTCAAGAGATCCTCCCACCTTGGCCTCCCAGAGTGCTAGAATTACAGAGTGAGCCACCACACTAGGCCCTGGCTTACATTCTTTCATTCTTGTTCCTAGTTCCCATACAGTCTATTCTTTATTTTTTTGAAACAGCGTCTCACTCTGTTACCCGGGGTTGAGTGCCATGGCATCAGCCTAGCTCACAGCAACTTCAAACTCCTGGGCTCAAGTGATCCTACTGCCTCAGCCTCCCAAGTAGCTGGGACTACAGGCATGCGCCACCATGCCCGGCTAAATTTTATTTATTTATTTGTTTATTTATTTATTTATTTATTTTATTTTTTTCCAGCATATTGCGGGGCAAATGTTAAGGTTAACAAATGTTAAGGTTATGTATATTGCTCTTGTCCCCCTTCCCCTCGGGTCAGAGCCTCAAGCCTGTCCATCCCCCAGTTGGTGCCCATCACATTCATTATGTATGTATATACCCATCCTCTTCCCCCTAATTTTTTTTTTTTTTTTTTTTTTTGGAGACAGAATCTCGCTTTGTTGTCCAGGCTAGAGTGAGTGCCATGGCGTCAGCCTAACTCACAGCAACCTTAAACTCCTGGGCTCAATCAATCCTACTGCCTCAGCCTCCCAAGTAGCTGGGACTACAGGCATGTGCCACCATCCCCGGCTAATTTTTTCTATATATATTAGTTGGCCAATTAATTTCTTTCTATTTTTAGTAGAGATGGTCTCGCTCTTGCTCAGGCTGGTTTTGAACTCCTGACCTCAAGCAATCTGCCCGCCTCAGCCTCCCAGAGTGCTAGGATTACAGGCGTGAGCCACCGTGCCCGGCCCCTAATTTTTTATATATATATTTTAGTTGGTCAATTAATTTCTTTCTATTTTTAGTAAAGACATGTCTCGCTCTTGCTCAGGCTGGTCTCGAACTCCTGAGCTCAAACGATCCTCCCGCCTTGGCCTCCCAGAGTGCGTGGGCAAACATTTGATGAGGTATAAGTAGTAAAGAGTCTTATTTTCCTACAAGTTGCATATTAATTACCCTAAAGGAAAATAGTAATTTTACAGTGGAGAAACCTGGTGAACACCATTTTAACCATGTGATCAAGGTCAATATCTGTTGGGACAAACCAACACGTGTCTTTGATGTGATGCACTGAGGACACAGTATCACCTTGGTGCTGATGTTCCTGCCAAAAATGTGTGACCTAAATAACTTGGATCTAACTATGAAGAAGCATCAGACAAACCAAACTGAAGGACATTCCATAGAATAATGATCCTGAACTCTCCTAAACTGTCAAAGTCAAGAACAAATAACAAAGAAAGATCCTCCCAGGCTGGGCTCGGTGGCTCACGCCTGTAATCCCAGCACTCTGGGAGGCCGGGGCGGGTGGATTGCTCAAGGTCAGGAGTTCAAAACCAGCCTGTGCAAGAGCGAGACCCCCATCTCTACTATAAATAGAAAGAAATTAATTGGCCAACTAAAAAAATATATAAAATTAGCCGAGCATAGTGGCTCATGCCTGTAGTCCCAGCTACTCGGGAGGCTGAGGCAGCAGGATCGCTTGAGCCCAGGAGTTTGAGGTTGCTGTGAGCTAGGCTGACGCCATGGCACTGAGACTCTGTCTCAAAAAAAAAAAAGATCCTTCCAGATTAAATGAGGTTGAGGGCTGGGTGAGGTGGCTCACGCCTATCATCCTCAGCACTTTGGGAGGCCAAGGCAGGAGGATCTCATGAGTCCAGGAGTTGGAGACCAGTCTGGGCAACACAGAGGGACCCCATTTCTAGAAGAAATAAAAAAAATTAGCCGGGTGTGGCAGCACAAACCTGTAGTCCCAGCTACTGGAAGGCTGAGGCAGGAAGATCACTTAAGCCCAGGAATTAAGAGGTTACAGAGAGCTATGATTGGGCCACTGCACTCCAGCCTGGGCAACAGAGCGAGACCCTGTCTTGAAAATAAGTAGATAAATAAATAAATAAGGCTGAAGAGACATAATTAAATGCAGTATGTTGTTGTAGATTAGAAAAAATAAAGGACATCATTGGAACCATTGAGGAAATATGAATGTGGACTGTGGATTAAATAGGAGTATTATATTAATTTTAATGCTCTGATTTTGATAATTGTACCATGGTGTACTATTATGCTACAAATATCCTTGTTCCCAGGAAACAAACACTGAGTACATAGGGGCAAAAGGGCCAAAATGGTTCAGAAAACAAATATTTATAACTATAATATTTCAAGAGAAATGGTAAAGCAGTTGGGGCAAACACAAACAATGGGCCTGGGAAAAGAGTATACAGGAGTTCATTGTGACTTTTTAGAAAGTCTGAAATTATATAAAAAATAAAAGTTCCAAAAATGTCATTTAAAAAATAGGGGGAAAGCCCTCTCATCTCACTCAGGGGTGTGTAGGTCCTCACACAGGTCTCACAATGACCTAGAAGGTCCTACTGAGCTGCTTCCCCCTTTATCTCCAAGCTTGCCTCCTAGGGCTCCTGCATAGTTCTCTCCGCCTGGAACATTCTTCCTCAGGTATCCAGTAACCTGCCCCTTCACCAATTAAATTACACCTTCTTAATGAGTCCTTCCCTGATCATAACATCTGAAATTACAATCTCACTCTCCACTCCTCTTCTCTGCTTTATTCTACTTTATAGCACCATCCAACAAATGATGTATTTTGTATAATGTGCATTGACTATTTCTCCCATAAAAACTCATGACCCAAAGGGCAGAGATTATTGTTTTGTTTGGTGCTATATCCCCAGGGCCTAGAACAGAGCTGAGCCCACAGTATGCACCCTACAAATGCTTGCTGGAGAAAGAAGGAATTTCAGGGTTCCAGGCATTTTGTGTGCTGAGGTTGGGGGTTGAAGGGCGTTGCATACTTCCTGAACTGCTCTTTCTCTCATTGCTCCTTTTTTTCTTCTTTGTTTTTCGGGGACAGAGTCAGCTCACTGCAGCCTCAAACTCCTGGGCTCAAGAGATTCCCCCACCTCCGCCTCTCAAAGTGCTGGGATTATAGACGGAAGCCACTCTACCCAGCTTCACGGCTCCTTTTATTCTGCTGAGGTCTGTGCTGCCCTCTCTTTTCTTTAGTTTGGCTACCCAGGTGGAACTTCAGGAGGCAGGACCTGGATCTTCTATCCTGGTTCTTCCCTTGGCACAGGGGCTTGGTACTCCTGCTTCCCAACCGCCAAACCACCAGGACCCAAGGGGTCCCAGGAAGCCAGGCTTCCCTTTGAAGAATTGAAGAGGGAGGAGCTGAGCCTGGGAACTGGGTCTGGGAAGACGTCACAGCAGGGGAGGGGAAGCTGAGACACTCTACCAGCTGTGTTGGCTCTTTTCCTTCCCCACCCTGCCTCCCTAGAGGCTGAGCATGTGTGGGCCACGGGCTCTCCTCCCCCAAATCCCAATGTGGCCCACTGCCACAGGGCAGTCAGGAAGAGGTTGAAGGCCCAGTCACCATCCACACACTATTAGTTCGTGTTGTGCATGGGTACAACTACAAATGTGCACGGCCACAGGCCCACAAGGGCACAGAGGCGTGCAAACCATATGGAGATCCTCATTGACATTCTCAGCCACAGGAATGTTGGGGGTAGGTATGAGGGACATCATCACAGGCCACATCTGCATTGGAACAGTGAACTGGAGAAAATCACCTAGTCTGTCCAATAATCTCATATTGCGACAGCTGTAGGTTTGGAGGGCCTGAAGCTTATATAGTTTGTTTTGTTTTGTTTTGGTGGGGTGAATATTTTAAGAAAAAATATAAAATTAGGTATAAAAAGTAATTAGAGTAAAATAAAAGATTACAACTTGCAAATTTAAAAAGCTGACAAATGCCATGAAATCTAGAAAAATAACTTATAGGTATTTGTATTAATGAACTGCCTGCACACCTCTATAATACTTTCCACAGATTAGCTGCTGGCTGTATATAGTTCAAATCTTTTTGTTTTTTTGTGTTTTTTTTTTTGAGACAGAGTCTCGCTTTGTTGCCTAGGCTAGAATGAGTGCCGTGGCGTCAGCCTAGCTCACCAGCAACCTCAACTCCTGGGCTCAAGCGATCCTCTGCCCTCAGCCTCCCAAGTAACTGGGACTACAGGCATGTGCCACCATGCCGGCTAATTTTTTTCTATATATATTAGTTGGCCAATTAATTTCTTTCTATTTATAGTAGAGACGGGGGTCTCGCTCTTGCTCAGGCTGGTTTCGAACTCCTGACCTCAAGCAATCCGCCCGCCTCAGCCTCCCTTGTGTTTTTTTTTTGAGACAGAGTCTCGCTTTGTTGCCCAGGCTAGAGTGAGTGCCATGGTGTCAGCCTAGCTCACAGCAAACTTCAAACTCCTGGGCTCAAGCAATCCTTCTGCCTCCAGCTCCCGAGTAGCTGGGACTCAGGCATGTGCCCACATGCCCGGCTAATTTTTTCTATATGTATTAGTTGGCCAATGAATTTCTTTCTATTTATAGTAGAGACGGGTCTCGCTCTTGCTCAGGCTGGTTTGGAACTCCTGACATCGAGCAATCGGCCCACCTCGGCCTCCCAGAGTGCTAGGATTACAGGCGTGAGCCACTGCGCCTGGCCTATAGTTCAAATCTTGTCTCTCTCCTACCACCTATGTACTCACAGTGCCAGGAACACATTCACATCACATGTGCCCTCTGGCCCTACACCCACACAGCACGAAGCCTGATAACTGGGCACAGGGGACAGGAGTGTCCCTGCAAGCCACCATACCTGTACCAGATGACTAGTGTGACTTCACTATATATGGAAGTGACTGCACATCACCTAAACATATCCCATGAAACTCCAGATCTTATGTGTCTCCAACCCACCTTCTCCATAACTGGATCCCCAAAATGTCCATAGCCACTAGGGGGAGAGTGTGACAGAGAAGCAGCTGGAGGAGAAAGAGACTGGTCTTTACCACTTGCAGTGAAAAGAGCTCATGTTTGCAAATTTTACAGAAGCAGCCCTGTGAGCACGTTGCTGGGGCCTGCCCTGTGTGCCTACCCTGTGTAAGTGAGGGCTCTCGGGCTTCCTTGGCTTCATGGTGAATTGGCCTCTGCACTTGAAATTCTTGGTCTTGCATCTCAAACAAACTCTCAATCCAATTCAAAAGGAACATTTTACACCTTCTTTCTCCCCATTCCTGCAATGAACTTGCTCCACTGTTCTTGGAGAAAGGGGAGCAACCAGGGAGAGCCCCCCTTATCCTTTCCACAGCCCACCAACCCACACCCTTCTCCTCCACTTCCCGTGGGAAAGGGGTCTTCCCTACTTCTGAGGTTGGTTTTCCACCTGGCCCTGCTCCACCCATCCTGTTCCACCCACCCCAAGGTCTTGGTTGTTCCCATCGGAATCAAAAGTACTCTACAACCCTCTTCTGCTTCCTGTACTCCTAGCCGCCACACATTTTTCTGTTCCTTGTTCACAGCAAAACTTGTCCAGGTTGTCTATAGCTGCCGCCTACATGCCTTCATGTCCCATTCTCACCTCCACCCACTCAAGTGGGCCAGCGCAGAAGTCACTCTCCTCTAGGTCCTCTGTGACTTCCAAGATGCCACATTAGGTGGTTACTTCTCTGGCTTTGCCTTGCTTGACCTCCTGGCAGCTTTGATAGAGCTACTGCTCTCTTCATTCCAAAATTTTATTTATTCTGGTTGGATACAGGGTCAGAAAACATTTATTTATTATTTAAAATTGACAACTAATAATTGTATGTATTTATGACATACAGTGTGATGTATGCATTGGGGGATGATTAAATCAAGGTAATTAATGTAAAAGCCACCACCATCTATCCAGTTACAGTCATGTGCCACATAAGGACGTTTGGGCCAACAATGGCCCTCATATACAACCGTGCTCCCTTAAGATTACAATGAAAAATTTCTGTTACCTAGTGATGTCTCCCATAGCTGTCTTAACATCACAGTGCCATACATTACCTTTTCTCTTCCTTCCTTCCTTCTTTCTCTTCCTTTCCCTTTCCCCTTTCCTTTCCTTTTTTTTTTTTTTTAAAATACGCGGGGTCTCCCCCTGTTGCCCTGGCTAGAGTTCAGTGGTGTGATTTTAGCTCACTATAGCTTCGAACTCCTGGCCTCAAGTGATCCTCCTGCCTCAGCCACTGGAGTAGCCAAAACTATAGGCAGGCACCACCATTCTGAGCTAATTTTCTTAAAATTATTTTCTATAGAGACGGGAGTCTCGAGACATATTGCCCAGGCTGGTCTGCAATTCCTATCCTCCAGTGAGGGCTCTACATTTCCTATGTGTGTGTGGCTTTTTATTTATTTATTTATTTTGGTGTAATGACATATTTATTTATTTATTTAACTTTAAAATTATAATTAATGGCTGGGCATGGTGGCACATGCCTGTAATCCCAGCTACTCGGGAGGCTGAGGCTGGAGGATCGCTTGAGCCCGGGAATGTGAGGTTGCTGTGAGCTAGGCTGATGCCACGGTACTCTAGCCCAGGCAACAGAGTGAGACTCTGTCTCAAAATAAATAAACACATAAAATTCTAATTAATAATTTATTTCTATTAAAATTGTTTTTTTTACATTTTCTGTGTTTAAATACACAAATACCATTGTGTTATAGTTGTGTACAATAATTCAATACAGTGACATGTTGTACAAGTTTTTAGCCTATGAGCAAAGGGGTATGCCATCTAGGTTTGGTTAAGTATGCTCTATGATGTTCACACAACTAACCACACATTTCTCAGAACCTGTCGAGGTCATTAAGTGAAGCATGACTCTACTTAGGCCAAAGACCTAGAAGAAACCCGTTCATATTCCTCTTCACCGCCTTCACCTCAGTAGGAGCCACTATCCTGCGTTGCCTAGAAAACCTGGCTCAAAAAGCTCCCCCCGGGCAAACCTCCCTCTGCTTCCTTCTCCCAATAGCCAGCCCAGAGTGATTTATTTATTATTTATTTATTTACTTGTTTTTTGAGACAGAGTCTCACTCTGTTGCCCAGGGCTAGAGTGCCGTGGTGTCAGCTAGCTCCACAGCCAACCTCCAAAAGCCCCTCCCTGGGCTCAGAGCAATTCGCTCCCTGCCTCAGCCTCCCCCCTGAGTTGGTGGGAGCCTGACAGGCCATGCGCAACCATGCCGGCCCTAACAATATATAATATATAACATAACATAACATATCATATATTATCTTTTAGTTGTGCCAAGCTAATTTTCTATTATTATATATTTTTTTTTTTAGTAGAGACTGTTCTCGCTCTTCTTGCTCAGGCTGGTCTCGAGCTCCTGAGCTCCAAAGGATCTCAAGCCTCGGTTCCCCCCAGAGTGCTAGCGATTTACAGGCGTCAGCTCCCATCCGCCTGCCCAGAAGCTGATCTTTTTAAAACATAAGTCCACCGAGGTGCAGTGGCTACAACGCCTGTAATATCCTAGCACTCTGGGAGGCCGAGGCGGGCGATGCTCCAAGGTCAGGAGTTTAAAACCAGCCTGAGCCAAGAGCGGAGACCCATTCTCTAACTCCCCTAAATAGAAATCAAAATTAAATTGGGCCAATAAGGAGATATATAGAAATAAATTAGCCTGGCATGGTGGGCGCATGGCCTGTAAGTCCCAGCCTCCTCGGGAGTGCTGAGCAGAGGATATGGCTTGAGCCCAGGAGTTTTGAGGTTGCTGTGGAGCTAGGCTGGACACCCATTGGGCACTCACTCCCCTAGCCCTGGGCAATCAAAGTGAGACTCTGTCTTCCAAAATAAATAAATAAATAAATAAATAAGTCAGAGACTATAACTTTCCTAATGAAAATCCTCCACTGGCTTCCTTCCCATTGCACTTACACTAAAACCCAAAGTCCTGGAGTCTTCAAGGCCCCGTGGGATAGGCCATGCCTGCCTCTCCCATGTGAGGTCTGCCGCTCTTCACATTTCCCATCCCCGCTTTGCAAGCTCTCTTTATCCAGCTCCCACCAGCAAAGCGCTTTCCTACTTCGCAGTCTTTGTACTTGCGCTTTCTTTTGACTGGACTCATGGCAGCCGACTGCCCTGGGTTCAAATATCACCTTACAGAGGCCGGTTCTGACCACCAGGAGTTAAGTAGCGCTTCACTTTCAAGTCATTGCCACGACCTTTTTTTTGGCGGGTTTTTATGTTTGTTTATTTTCTTCCCACAGTCTTCTAACCGTCTGAAACTATATTATATTCTGCTTTCTTAGTCATTTCCCGTCTCTCCCCCACTCTGGTGTGAATTTCAGGAGAACCAGACCCTGTGCTCCTGCGATGCCTAATAATACTCGGCACACAGGAGGCGCTGCAGAAGTACCGGCTGGGTGAACATACAGACGTAGAGATGCCCAGATTGCTCTACAATCTCCTGGGGGCCAATGTCACGGCTTAGAGCTGAGAAGAGAGCACGCATCGCCAGTCACTGACACAACAGAGGAGAAGACGGACACCCAGACCCTGGCCCAGACGAAGCAAACAGGCGAAAAGGCGGGGGACAGAGACACAGAGCCAGGGCGAGTTACGGACCGAGACCCAGACGCGGCGAACCGGAGGCCCGGGCCCACAGAAGCCCTGGCAGCGCCGGAGACAGTGTCAAGAAGAGGGGCGTGGAGGGGGGCGGAATGGGCCGGAAGAGGGCAGAAAGGCAGCGCCGCGGGTCGGGGAGACCCCGGCCGCCCCCGCCCCGCTCACAAGTGGCCGCAGCGGGTGGCCGCCCGCCCGCCCGCCGGCCCGACGCGTGCGGGATCAAAGCGGCGGGGAAGGGGCGGGGCGGGGAGGTGTCAGGAACCTGGAGGTGCGAGCGAGCTTCCCAGGGGACGGCAGGAGCGTGGGAGCGCAGAGAGTCGGGCCGGCGACAGAGACCCGGGGAGACGACGAGAGATGAACCCGAGAGACCCAGATGCGGGGAGCCGGGTCCGAGATGCGGAGGGACGAGACAACTGAAGACCCAGAGAGACCCAGAGCGAAGTCGCTAAGAGCCCTGGAAAGAACGGGAGAGATTCAAAGGGACGCCAAGAGGCCCTCAGAAACCCGGAAAGACGGCGAGACGAAGAAGGCCCAGACCCACGAACTTAGGAAAAGGAAGAGTGATTCAGAGAGAACGGAAATAAGAGACGGAAGAAGAGAAATGGAAAGAACAAGGGATTTAGAGTGTGTGGGGCGGGGAGACCTGGCTCCTCCCCCGCGGGGGGCCGAGAGGACCCCGGAGGCAGGGATCCCAGCACCATGTCCTTTCTCAGGGTCACGCCTGTGGAGGTGCGGGCTGAGGGGGGAGGGATGTGGAGGCTGGAGGACCCCTGGCTGGGAGGAGGGGGGTGTGAGAACATGAGTAATCAGGGCCTAGCTCTGGGGCTTCAAACTCTAAGATCGTCAAAAGGCTAAATTTCATATTTAGTAGAAATGTTTAAGCGAAGATGTTTAGAAAGGTCGTCAAACTTATCATTCCCTTTTGGGGAGGAGAAAAGAAAAGAGACGAGTGCATTGGCCGGGAATCGAACCCGGGCCTCCCGCGTGGCAGGCGAGAATTCTACCACTGAACCACCAATGCTAGTGACAGCCACTTTGCAATAGTTGCATCTCAGCTTGTAGGAGGTTGAGGCCAACGTCGCCAAGCAAACGATGTAGGCCAACTGCTCAGGAAAGGAGTGGCTGCGAATGGTCAACGTGGGTGGAGCGCCGAGCCATCCTTCCTCCCGCCGGGATCCGGCCACCGGGCCATAAAGCCGCCCCATATGGCCGGGGGCGGCCCCACACCCGGGTGCGAACAGCCCAGGGCCCCGAGCCTCGCGTGCAGGTGAGAAAAACTCAGCCCGAGCCCAGGTTCCCAAGGAGGGGGGCAGCGGGGGCTGCTAGTGCCACACATCTGTGCTCCCATTTGGCCGAGGTAGGGGGAGGTGTGTTGGGGGCCCTGATCCCAAATAGGAGCCCCTTTCTCGAGGTCTGTGCCCCTCCGGGCTGGAGCTTTGGCAAAGCAGGCTCCGTGAAAAAATAAAACAAAACAAAATAAAACAAAACAACCAATAAGGCGTGGAGGGGCGATCGGAGAGCTTGGAGGAAGCCCCAAGTCTCTGACTTCACAGCTGTCTTCCATCTCGGTCTGTAACCCTGTCCTTCCGTGTCCTTGTCCCTGGCAGTCTTGCTATCCCGTTCAATTTCTGATTTATTTTCTCAGGCACTTTGTCCTGAAGCCTCCGAGTGTGCACGCTTCATTTGCAAAGGGTCATATTCTTGGCTTGAGGTGGGTGTTGGTCCCTTTTTTGTATCCCTTTCTTGTCCCTTTAGGAAAACTGCCTATTCTCTGCTCCCTTACAGTCACGAGGGGCCTCCAGAGGCACCCAGCGGGCACACTTGTGTGAGGTGTCCCGTCTGCCATACTCCTGAACCTCCTAGGATCAGTTGTGAATAAAATAGTTGTGCCGTAGGTGGAAAGATCCCTTCGCTCCTTGCTATGCTTCAAGGACTCGCTTCCTCTTCCTTGAAGTCCTCTCTGTTCCCCACCTCAGTCCAGCCATCCTCAAGCAGACTCTTTTCCCCGAGCACCTGCTTGGCTCTGCTTCTGTAATAGCTACTTGATGACACCTCGTCGTTTCCACTAGATGGTCCTGCGGAATAAGCGGGGCCTCTACTGCACGTCTCAGTATGAACCTCGGAGCCTAGACCAGCGCCCTGCACGCAAAGTGAGCCTGCAGAGGTCGGGGGACTTGCACAGGACGGACATGGAACAGAGCGCCTCTTCTACCTCCTGGCAGAGCCCCACTTAAGTCAGGCAGATCCACCCAGCACACTATTCTGAGTAGGAGGCAAATTTGGGGCAAGAAGGGAAGAAGTATAAAATTCAGCCTGGGGTCTGAGGGATGCTAACTTTTATTTCAGAGATAGTAAGGGTACAGTGAGCCTCCAAGAAAGCTTCAGTTCTGGGGGAACTGAGAACTTCGTCCTCAAAGGAGTTCTGTCCCAAATAACCTAATCTCCCTTTGCCCCTAATAGCCTCCTCCCTCCAGCTGGGTCCCGCCTCCTTATACAGCCTGATGGTCGGTAAACCAGTCTGTGTCTATTCGCCCCTCACTTCCCACACTCCCAGGCCGGTTCCTCTCCTTCTCCTCCCCCTTCACTCCTCCCCTTTCCGGGAGCCTCGTGCCGGGGTCCTAGCCAGGCGGAATCTGGGTGCTGAAGTGGGCGGGTCCGGGTCCTATCCCTCCTACCTGGCACCGCGGGCTATAAGGCCCCAGGCGAGCAGGGATCCGGTCCACACCAGGGTCCGGAGGAGCAATGGTCACCCGAGATCGAACTGAGAACAGGGATGGCCCCAAGGTGAGAGGCGGGAGGGGAGGAGGAGCAGAGGTCCCTGGTATGGCCAGGGGACCGGGCCCTGATACAATGGGTCAGGGGAGAGCCTGGGAATTGAGGGCTGGAAAAGGAGAGGTGCCAGGGGGGGCCCAAAGAGCCAGGAGCTGGAGAGGAAGCTACGAAATATGAAGAAGGCGACAAGGGTCAGAGCAATACCTGCGTGGGCAGCGGAAGCCTAGGTCTAGGGGCCTGGGTAATGGGGCTGGCACCTGGCGACCTGGAGGGTGTGGGAGGGGGCCGGAGTTTGAGTGGAATAAGCAATGAGCGGATGGAACCAGGGGAGGAGGATGGGGACAACAAGAGAAGACAGGCACTCGCTCCACGCGGGCTGTGAGCCGGAGCTGGTCCAATGTCCTCTTGTAGAGAAGGCCGCGGGGCGTTGGTTCCAGAGGCCAGAGGCCGGCTGTAAGATTTTAGGAACGAGTGGGGAAGCGTGACGGCCTAGAGGGTTTGAGAGAAAAGAGGAGGAGCGGTCGCGCTAGGTATCTCCCTTTCTACACTCAGGGCCGCCAGCTTTGAGCCCCGCACCGTGCGGCCCACGGGCTTGCGAGCAAAGAGGGTCCCCAAAGTTCTCCACTGAGACAGAGAGAGAGAGAGAGAGAGAGAGAGAGAGAGAGAGACTGCACGAGACCGAGACGTAGAGAGAAAAGAGAAGGAGAGACACAGAGAGGGGAGGAGGGAGGACGAGACTCAGGAACATGCGGAAGACCCGGGAGAGAGAGGAGGCGAGCTGCAGAAACTGACTAGGGGCGCGGGGCGGGGGAGAGGAGAGGGACCGAGCGGGCCGGCTCTAGCCAATCTGGGACCGGGGGAAGGGGTGGAAGCCCGGCTGTCCCCGCGGCGGGATCCGGCCGCCGGCGCGGCCGCGCTGAGTCTCGGTCCCGTCGGCCGCTCTCCCTTTCCTGCTGGGCACAGATGCTGAAGCCGCTGGTGGAGAAGCGGCGCCGGGACCGCATCAACCGCAGCCTGGAAGAGCTGAGGCTGCTGCTGCTGGAGCGGACCCGGGACCAGGTCAGTCCCTCTGCCAGCCCCGGACCCCCAAGCATCCCATGCCCGCGTCCCAGGGCTTTCCACTGGGGTGGGGACCTATGCTGGATTGGCGACCCTGGCCCGAGTCCCGCCCTTGGAATCCCATCCCAGACCCCCTCTGGCTCTCAGAACGCGATCTTCTTCGCCACCCCTCGGGTCTGTAAGTTTCACGCCTGGCTCTGTCAATTTCACTCCCCGGGTCGGTCAGTTTCACCTTTGGGTCTTTAAATGCCCCCTTCCCTTCCCCCACACCACTCGGGGCGGCCAGCGTCAGTTCTGCCGGGTGGTTAATTTCACTCCCTGGGCTGCCGTTTCACATCTCGTCCTCGCACGTCGCGCATCGGCTCCATCCCCTCGGGTGGGACAGTTTCGTCTCTGGGAGGGCCAGGACCGGCCGTGGTCGCCCACTGCGCGTTCGGTCCTGCGTTCTGTGAGCAGCGCGTACTTGCGATCCCGGGAACCCCAGCTCCCGCATCCGCCCCTCCCTTCTTCCCCCTGCCACTTTCCCCCTCTCTCCCCACCCCTTTCTGTCTCTGCGCCCGCCCCTCCCGTCTGCAGAACCTCCGGAACCCGAAGCTGGAGAAAGCGGAGATCCTGGAGTTCGCCGTGGGCTACTTGAGGGAGCGAAGCCGGGTGGAGCCCCCGGGTACAGCGCGGGGGTGGGGCAGCGGAGGGCGGAGGGCAGTCTCGGCGGCTCGGGCCGGGGAAGACGGGCGGGCCCAGGCGGACGGTGGGCTTGGGGAGCGGCAGATCCTGCTCGGAGGCGAGGTTGCTAACACCCGCGCGTGTCTGTCTCTGTGTCTCCCTCACTCTCTCCTTCCACCTGGTTTCCTGTCTCTGTCTGTGCGCCTGTCCGGCCTCGGTATCTCTGCGCCCCGCCCCGCCCCTCACCCCTCCGGGCCCCTGCCCTGCCGCCGCGGCTCCAGGGGTTCCCCGGTCCCCAGCCCAGGACGCCGAGGCGCTCGCCAGCTGCTACCTGTCCGGCTTCCGCGAGTGCCTGCTCCGCTTGGCGGCCTTTGTGCACGACGCCAGCCCGGCCGCCCGCGCCCAGCTCTTCTCCGCGCTGCACGGCTACCTGCGCCCCAAACCGCCCCGGCCCGAGCCGGGAGAGCCGAGGCCTCCAGCGCCGCGCCCGCCGCTGGACCCCGCCGCACCCGCCCTCGGCCCCGCGCCGCACCGGCGCCCCGCAGTGCACCAGGGCCCCCCCAGCCCGCGCTGCGCATGGTCCCCACCCCTCTGCTCCCCTCGCGCCGGGGATGCCGGCGCGCCGGCGCCCCTCACCGGACTGCTGCCGCCACCGCCGCCGCCTCACAGACAAGACGGGGCGCCCAAGGCCCCGCCGCCCCCGCCGCCCGCTTTCTGGAGACCTTGGCCCTGAGCTTTGGTGGGGTGGAGGCGGGGGCTGGGGGTGGGGTAGAGACTCCAGCCGTGGGCAGCAGAGGGACCCGGGCGTCCGGGCGAGGAGGTGTTGGGGAGGGCGGCGGGGCGCGCGGGCTCAGCGCGCGGGTGAGATGTGGTCTATATTAGAGTATCTATATAAATATATATTTCCCTGGTTCCTGTCCCTTTTCCCTGACCCCCGCCCTTGGCGTCTAGGATTGTACCCTCTTTGCTCTCGGCCCAGTCCCAGTCCCTTTACAAGTCCCTAGTGCATGGAATAAAGTGGTTATTAAATCCCCGTGTGTCCCCGAGCCAGGGGCCTGCCTTTATCTCGACGTCCACGCCCACTTTCCCTTCCCTTCTGTCTCCCACCCCCAGTCCTGCTCTCCACGGCCCAAGCTCCGGGGCAGACAGGTAAGTAAAGAAGAGAGCAGAGCGGAGACTGAGGTTGGAACTGAAACCAGGAGGAAAACACAGATAGAGTAGGGGAAGAAGGGATGGGAACCTTGGAGAAAAAAATCGGATAAAAAGGAGAGAAAAAATTCAAATAAAATCGACTCTGGTGGGATTCGAACCCACAACCTTTGAATCGCTCTTTCGTCACTAGAAGTCCAATGCGCTATCCATTGCGCCACAGAGCCACCTCGCGGGCAATGGCATCCTGTGGCTTACCGATACTAGCATGGGAAAGGGGCATGGGCAGGGGGGGTGTGTGTGAGGGAATCGGGCGGGAAGTGTCACCGGCATGGGTTTGAATCTCAGAAGCCAGCTAGGTGGAGGGAGCAGGCGCAAAGCTTGTGAGCAAGCGCGCAAGAAACAGGGAGGAAAAGCAACCGAATATGAGCGAGTGAGCGAGTGCAGAGCTCCGGCTGCCTGCTTGGGGTGCTTCCAGCTCTGGCGCACCCCACTCCCAGATGTGGCCCCACCCAAATAAACATTTTTTGTTGTAAATTTCTGTGTGTCTCTGTTTCTTATGGTTTATCTTTTCTACCATCTGCTGCTATGCAGTCTAGAGTCTCGACGGTTTCCCATTCCTGGTATAAAAAATATGGAAAAGGACACCAATTTAACTGTATCATCTTTGCCCCACTTCTCCCTTCTAGTCTCTTAGGAGGACAATTGGGAGACCTTGCTTCCGTGCAGGTAGCGTGGCCGAGCGGTCTAAGGCGCTGGATTTAGGCTCCAGTCTCTTCGGAGGCGTGGGTTCGAATCCCACCGCTGCCAGGCTGGAGTTTTTCTCTTGGTCTGAGCTTTCCATAAGGGGTCATCTGGCATGTTCCTTTAATTTTATGAAGCCCCTACTAGTGGTTTCACCACAGTCTACCGTCTGTGGTCTTCCAGACAGATCGTACATTCCTCCCATGCTCAAATTAAGACTTGATAGAAAGTGCTGAAGAAATCTTTATTTCTTCATAAATGATCATGATCTCTATTATTTTTTTGAGGCAGAGTCTCGATCTGTTGCCCAGGCTAGAGTGCAGTGGCGTCAGCCTAGATCACAGCAACCTCAAACTCTTGGGCTCGAGCAATTCTGCCTCAGCCTCCCGAGTAGCTGGGACTACAGGCATGCGCCACCATGCGCAGCTAATTTTTTTTCTATATATTTTTAGTTGTCCAGCTAATTTTTTTCTATTTTTTACTAGAGACGGGGAGGGGGGGGTGTCTCACTCTTGCTCAGTCTGGTCTTGAACTAGTTGACCTCGAGCGATCCTCCTGCCTCGGCCTTCCAGAGTGCTAGGATTAGAGGCCTGAGCCACCACGCCCAGCCTCTGATCTCTATTTTAACATGTTTTCATAATACAATATTCTCATCTCAAAATTAGCCCAACCTCGAATATATTTAGGTGACTTACTGTATGTTCTTCTGGCAGTCCTAGATCCTCTTAACCGGTGAGAAAAGCTCAAAGACTTGGGGTCCTCATTCGCTTTTGTTTTTCAGATGCTCTCGCGTCACGAAAGAAACATGTTATTCGTGAAACCAACAATAAGACGTTCTGCGTGTGAGATTAAAACTTCAAGGTTCCACCGAGATTTGAACTCGGATCGCTGGATTCAGAGTCCAGAGTGCTAACCATTACACCATGGAACCCCCTTGTTCAAGCACCTTTCAGAGATTATGTACATTACTATACTTTTGTATTCTGCACGTTTTTCTAATCCATTTATTTACAGAAAACAAGAAGAAACAAAAGAAAATCCCCTGTTGACTATGGTGAACACCACTATCAAGCACCTGAAATATAAATTGAGATGTACTGTCAACTTCTATACACATCGGATTTAGAAGACTTTGCATTAAAAAAAGACAAAATTTTATTAATAATTTTAAATATTGATTACATATTAAAATAAGACTTTGGAATATTGGGTCTTAAGTAAACAATAGTACTACATTTTATTTCACCTTTTTTTTGCATTTTAACGAAGCTACTAGAATGTTTATATTGGAAAACATGGCTTACATATGCACTACTCTAAAACATCTTTATTTCCCTCTCCTGTCATTCGCTGTACCTTTCGAAAAGTAGTTCCAGTTCCTGCCCTACTTATTATCATTTCCTTTTAAAACAGGTAGATGTGTTTTTGTTACTGTTTTCCATTGTTTTATTCGAAGGGGCACAATATATTAATTGTACTCAAAAGGTTAAAAAAAAAAAAAAGCATACGCCCGAACAGGGACTTGAACCCTGGACCCTCAGATTAAAAGTCTGATGCTCTACCGACTGAGCTATCCGGGCTCTTGCAAACAGGGTGCTCTCCTTTCTATAAGAGATTTTCATAAACGGAAGTCCCAGCCGGCAAAACCGAGAGAGAATTGTGTCTGCGCAGACGATTCTGGCATAGAGTCAGAGCGAGCGAGAGAAGGCCGCCTGCTGCTGACTGCTCTTTTTTATTTTGCCTCTCTTCCTCAGAGGCCCCGCCGAGGCTGGGCCGCTGGGCTAGCGCGCCGCGGAGGCTGGAACTGTGCGGCGCCGGGACTGGCCGCGCGGGGCCGCTGCAGGCTACAGGCTTGCGTGGCACAGAGCTTCCTCCGCAGGCCCCGTGACCTAGATCCCGCACACCTCCGGCACCTGGCCCCCGCCTACCGACCCGCAGGCCCAGGGAGGGCCTGGAGTGGAAAGAATGCCACAAGTGGCCTTCAGACGCTGTGCGCCCGGACTCCACTTCGGTTTCCCGGCCGGCCCTATTCCAAGGGGGAGACTGAGGTCGGGCGTGCCCAAGACCGGGGACAGACAGGGCCGGGCCTGGGGGAGATGGGTGTATGGGTGACAGGACACGTGTTCCTGACCACCTGCCGGGGCTGAAACGCGTGTGCGATTCACCTGCGTGTGACTGCGAGGTGTGTAGTCAAGTGCGGCTCACCTGTGTATAGTGATTCACACGGAGGATTCACGTGTAGGAATGCAGCTGCCTCGCGCTCAGTTCTGGCTGGGAGAGAAGGAGAAAAGGGTCTTGGGGGGAAGTTGGGGAGTGGGCGGACAAGGGTCCCAGGGCATCAGTCTGGCCCCTGACCAGGTGAAGGTCAGCGTCCCAATTGTACAGGGACACTGTATAATTATCCTCCCTGTCTCCACCTCAGCATCTAGTCCCTCCCTCCCCAGCGGGACCCAGGCTCCCGATATCCATCTGGATGAGTCAGCCAGAGGGACCGGCTGTGCTAGAGGCAGGCAAACAAGTACTAGAGTGCAAACTGTGGGCGGGGAGAGGGAGCTCGAGTCTCCAGCGAAGAGCTTTGGAGACAGCCCAGGAGCACCCTGGAGAGAGCTGGGCCCTTTCTCAGGCCCACGCTGCCCCCCTACCCCCTAGGCCGCCCCCGCCCAAGTCCAGCCCTGCCGGACCTGCCGCTCCCCTCCTCCCGGCCGGCTGCTGCTGTGGCCAGTTTTGCCGGGGGCATCCCTCCCTCCCTTTCACCATGGCAGTGTACCGCCTGTGTGTGACCACTGGTCCCTACCTGATGGCCGGCACACTGGACAACATCTCCGTCACGCTGGTGGGGACGTGTGGTGAGAGCCCCAAGCAGCGGCTGGATCGCATTGGCAGGGACTTCACCGCTGGATCGGTGAGTACCAAGGAGAGGGAAGTGCGACTCTCAGAGGCAGGGCCTGCCTGCAGGGGACCCTGAAGGAGAGGAGGAGCACTCCTTCTGGACTCATCAAATCAGGATGCTGGCTCTGACCTCCTCAAGGTCCCTTTTGTGGTCCCTGAAACTCATCCTCAGAGAGCACTGAGCAGGGAGTGGGAAGATGCCCTCTGGCTTCCTAGCTCTTCCTATAATTGATGGTGGCCATTGGTATCCTCTTCTCTGGAGGGGACCTTCCTGCCTTCATCAGCCCCCAGGACTGTTTGCTGGTGGCCTACACAAGGGTTCCCCAATGCCCAAGGAGACTAGGGAAATCCACTAGCGCCCACTCTGCTCGCGCACCATGCATGGTGCCTGCTTCTACCTGGATACTCTTTGTAATTCCTACAAAGGCACCCTGTGGTTAGCAGCAGGCATAGGTGTAGACGCACACTGCAAGGTGCATGGACGGTCTTGGTGGTTCCCTGCCTCTCACCTGATTGCTGCCTCGGTCCCCTCAGGTACAGAAGTACAAGGTGCGCAGCTCGGCAGAGTTGGGCGAGCTCTTGCTGCTGCGCGTACACAAGGAGCGCTTCGCTTTCTTCCGCAAGGACTCCTGGTACTGCAGCCGCATCTGTGTCACCGCCCCGGATGGCACCGTCTCCCACTTCCCCTGCTATCAGTGGATTGAAGGCCACCGCACAATGGAGCTGAGGCCGGGAACAGGTGGGCCAGAGGCCAGGGCGGAACTGGACTGCAGAAGGCATCTTTTTGGGATTAGGGGTGGGAACTCTGGGCTCCCAGGTAGACGCTTTCTGAAAAAAGTGAGCCTCTCAAGCCTTGAAAATGCAAGGGCCTTCTAGGCAGTGTTTAGTCTCTGGAGACAGACAGACATGCGCACCATGTGGACAGGCACTGTCTCTCTCTCACACAAGCAGATGGCTTTCCACAGCCTCCCTCTGCATGGCCCCAGAGTGAATTCCTCTGGAGCCCAGAGAGGCATTAACCTTCCAGTTGAGTAATTGGACTTCAACAGGCGAGGAAGCCCTGAATGTTTAGAGAATGTGGCCAGAGAGGCCCTGTCCTCTAGTGCTAGTTTTTCGAGTGTGGGTGAAGTCCCTGGGAGGCGCTGTTAGGGTCCCTTGTGTAATCCATGGGGCCTTTCAAAGACGCTGGGCTTGACTGCCTGCAGCCGCCAGCGCTGCCTGACCCAGAGAAGCAACCCTAGGGCCGCTCTGAGTGTCGAGATAAGTCTCAGGGATGAGAGATGAATATTCTAGGTCAAGGTGAGGCCAGTGAACATTATTACTCCACAGCCCGCAGTGAGCTCTTATAGACGTCACTGTGAACTCCCATCTATTACTATGGCACATCCATGCATAGCATCACAAAATGTATTTACTTATCAGTCGTTTATCAAGTGCTTGTTACGTACACAGTGCCAGGCTCGTGCTAGATGTGGGAATACAAAAAATGAACACGGCATGATTTCTGCCCTCGAGGAGTGCATAGTCTGGAAAGGAGACAAACATGCAAACAATTAGGAATATTGTTATCAGGTTGTCTCACATCCCTTCTCCTGGTGAAATAAAAGAACACAGGGGTGCCCTCATGTGATTCACATGGATGTGGCTATGGGATTGGGCTCAAGGGTTGGGGGGTTCAGGCAAGGTTTACAAAATGTGTTGTTTGAAAAGAAGCTTATGCCAAGAGTAATTTTCATTCCCCACAGCAAGAACCATTTGTCAGGATTCCCTTCCCCTCCTCCTGGATCACAGGAATCGGGAGCTCCGAGCCCGACAAGAATGCTACCGGTGAGTGTGGCCTCGTCTGGCTTCTTCCCCAGCCTTTATTCTGACCTCAGCCTCCATCAGATTGTTCCTAACTCGAACC